TGCCCGCCATCCCGGTGGGAGGTCGATGGCCAGGAGGTCGCACCCTTGGCTCCTGTGTCTGGGATACTCGGATTTTTCTGTTTGGAGCGGAAAGTTCCGAGGAGGAGGTTGCGTGTGCCTGCACCCTGTCTGGGGCTGAACTGGTCCTCTCTTTCCTGTGACTCCCAAGGGGCCGAGACCTCCTCCTGCCCCCTTGCCTGCTGCCCAGCCTTGGTGCCAGCAGGCAGCCCAGGCGACGCGCACCAAACCGTGGCACCTCCAGGGCCACTTGGCAGTGTCAGGTGACAGGAGAAAATCTCTCTGCTGCCCTGGTGGCTAGAGGCAGGGCTCGGAGAGCTCCTGAGGACAGGGTGTCTGAGTCAGCCGCAGAGAGGCAAGTGGGGGAGGGAGTGTCGAGCCCCTCTCTGTGTGTACACGGCCAGGGATCGAGAGGAGACGTCCCTCGAGGCTTCTGCCTAGTGCTCGGCAGCTGCTCTGTGACCAGGGACCAGCCCTGACCCCTGGGGGCGGACGTGCTCACTGGGCCTCCGTCCTCACCAGGTGAGGCCTGTCCTGGCCCTAGTTTTCTGGGGGCCAGAAGGAAGGCGGTGGTGAAGCTGCCAGGCCCACATGGGCCTGAGGCCCAGACCCCAGCAAGCAGCTTCAGGCTTCCGGAGGGGCTGCGGGAAGGGAGGGAGGACCCCCCGGGAACAGTGGGGCGGATGAATGGTTCTTCCGACCCTCCCAGGGCAGAGAGGCAGAAGCAGAAGCAGCAGGAAGCCCAGTCGCACCGACGCCCGTGGGGTCAGGAAGCTGTTCCTCAGCCCTTCTGTGGCACCCGGTGAGCCGGGAGGACAGGCCCCTCCGGGGTGAGGCTGCCCTGCTCACTGATCTGTGTTCCTTTTCCAGGCAGTAGTGAGAGCTCAGAGTTTAGTGAAGAGATGTCTTCAGGGCTGGAAAGGTGAGTGTGGCTGCAGCTCGGCCTCCCTCCCTCCCAGGGGAGGCGCTCAGGGCCCCAGGGAGCCGGAGACAGTTCCAGGCGGGGACCAGCCCCCTGGCCTCACCTGGTGGGGCTGCTCTGCGGCTCCTCAGGAAGCTCGGCCCAGGGCCAGGACCGGCTGGGGGGGCCGGGGTGGGGTCCCAGCCCCATGCTCTGAACAGCACCCTCATCGGCCGGTCCAGAGGTAGCCCAGGAGCCCGAGGCCAGCGCCTCCTCCTCCACGGAGCTGCCGAGGAGGACTGGGAGCAGATTTGGTTTGGACTGTGTGTGCTGGAAACCAGAGCCCGAGAACGAGCCTCGTCAGCAGACGGGCCCGGGGCTCCGCCTGGTGGGGTCTGAGGGTGTTGCAGCCACATGGCCCCAGGCCTTGGGCTGACACCTGGCCTACTAGGCGCTAGTGACAGCGAAGTGAACCCTCAGCCCAGGATCTGGCTCCCTGCAGGGAGCCAGTGCGTCCAGGGCTTTCTGCTCAGGAATGCACCTCAGCCCTTGCTCCGCAGATGGGTGCTCTCTCTGCACCAGGCGCCCCTGGGAAGACGGGACTCTGCACATGGGGGCTCCCATAGCCATGGCGCCGCCAGAGGTGGGGGGCAGCACGGTGACTGAGAAATCAGAACGTGGCGAGGGGCAGGTTTGCATTGTCCTTCAGGGCGGCCCCTCCACGAGCGCATGGGGGCCTATGTGCACAGACACGCACACTCACATGGACGCACATTCTACACGCTCACGTACATGCACACACATGGACACACATTCTACACGCTCACACGTACACACACACTCACATGGACACATTCTACACGCTCACGTACACACACACACACGCACACACACTCCACACCCTCACACACACCTACACGCTCACACGTACACACACATGGACACACATTCTACACGCTCACATACACACTCACAATGACACACATTCTACACGCTCACACGTATACACACTCACATTGACACACATTCTACATGCTCACATGTGCACAGACACATGCACACATTCTACACACGCATGCACACGCACACTCACATGGACACATTCTACACGCACTCACGTACACACACACATGGACACATTCTACACACACACGTACACACACTCACATGCACACATTCTGCACACTCACATGGACACATTACACGCTCACGTGTATACACACTCACATGGACACATTCTACACACACATACACTCACATGGACACATTCTACATGCTCACACGTACACACACACTCACATGGACACATTCTACATGCTCACACGTGCACAGACACATGCACACATTCTACACACTCACACGTATACACACTCACATTGACACACATTCTACATGCTCACACGTGCACAGACACATGCACACATTCTACACACGCATGCACACGCACACTCACATGGACACATTCTACACGCTCACGCGTACACATACACATGGACACATTCTACACACACGCGTACACACACTCACATGCACACATTCTACACGCTCACATGTACACGTGCACACTCACATGGACACGTTCTACACGCTCACATGTATACACACTCACATGGACACATTCTACACGCTCACATGTACACACAGTCACATGCACACATTCTACACACACATACACACTCACATGGACACATTCTACATGCTCACACGTACACACGCACTCACATGGACACATTCTACACCCTCAAACATACATACATGCACACTCACATGCACACATTCTACACACACACACACATGGACACACACATTCTGCATGCTCATACACATGCACATGCACACACATGGACACATTTTACATGTTCACACATACGTGCGTACATGGACACATACATGCACACACATACACATGTGCACACACATGGACACGTTCTACATGTTCACACATACACACGTACACCCACATGGACACATTCCACATGCTCACACATACACACAGGGACACATTCATGTCAGCGCACACACACATCCTCTCACACGTGGATGTGCATACACATGTGCACACGACTATCACACATATACATACTCACGCATACATTTGTGTGCACACACACACACGCTCCTCCTCTGGTGCCAAAGCCTCCTGTCTCCTCAGTCCCCATAATTATAAAGTAGCCAGACAGGAGGCGAATCCCGCCCAGCAAATTCTCACAGGGTAGAGGGACGTAACATGGTGACAAGTGATCTTCGATGAGCGTTCCCTCTGTGCCAGCCACTGTCTGGGTCTCACTGAATCCTCAAGCACTCCAAAATGTGACTATTCGTTGTGTCCATCTTACGCATGTGAACGGCAAGGCTCAGAGAGGTGATGTGACCCCTCCAGCTTCACACACCTCCGCTGGGGCAGAGGTGACCCAGATGCACGTCTGGCTGGCCACCAAGCCCACCCCTCCACTGCCGTGCTGCGGGCCTCGCCCACAGGGCTGCTGTGACAGCTCCAGGCACTGGCCCCACGTCCGTCAGTCAGCCTGTCTGTCCTTGTGAAACCCTAGTTGGAGGGCAGGAAATGGGGAGCGACAAAGCCACGGACCCTCAAGGCCCTTCCCTCTGTCCCCACTCTAGGACTCCTGGAGGGGCGTTTGCTCTGTTCTCACATGGGGAGCTCATGCAGGCGGGCCCCACGGCCCTCGCTCTGGGGCCACCCCAGCGCTGGGACGAAAACCAGGCAGGCACCAGGGGCAGGCTTCAAGTCTGATGAGCCCAAGTTGGACTTTTGTCAGTGCCGGTCAGGGGACTCCTGGGAGACCCTGAGGAAGGGGCTTGTAGGCAAGCCAGCCACTCTCCTGGCCATGGGCCAACGAGGGACGTTGAGTGGGAAACACGGGCACAGTGCCATGACCCTGAGTATCATTCAGACCTGGACCTATTCACTGGTTCCTGCCTTCCATTCTTCCTTGCTTCCTTCTTTCTTTCCTTCCTTCATTTATTCACTCATCCATTCCCCCATTCATTTATCCAGTAGGCATTGATTCAGCTACTGCTCCGTGCCAGACACCATGCGAGTCACTGAGAGTAGCAGATACGGTCCCTGCTAAGCGCCCACAGCTGAGATTAGAGCTGCCAGGACGGAGACCGTGAGGGCACAGCCGGCCAGAGCGACACCGCTGCACTCAGTTCGGTGGGGCCTCTGGGATAGACGCGGCCTTTCTCCTCTCTCTCTTTCGCTGAGAAGCAGCATTGGGTTCACTGTCCACCCGAACGCCCATGGTCGGTGCTTTTACTGGTGGCATCTCCTGAGGGTGCTGCTCTCACAGCTGGCTCACCCAGGCAGATGCCCAGCCCTGCCGCCAGCAGGCTTCGGGACCGTCCCGCAGGGCGAATGTCCTGCTTCTCTTCTTCTCAGGACCTCGCGTCTGGTCCAGCCCCTCCTTGCTGAGGGGAGCAGGAGACAACCTGCTTTGGAAGGCGCCAGTGGGGCTCAGATGTCCCCTCCGGTCCCTTCTGAGGCCCAGGGCAGTCCTGACCATCCAGATGCCAACCGCCTTTTGTCTTTCAGCCCCAGTGGCCCAGCCTCTGGCCTCCGTGTCCATCCTGCATGAGCCTCTCTTCCCGTCCACCAGAAAGAATCCCCTCCCCCCAAGCCCGTGAGCATTCTAGACTTCCCCAGCGGGGAGGGTTTACCGCACACACTCGGAAATCTTCGTTGTGTGTTCTTTCCTCTCAGTCTGGTGACTACCATTTGCGTTGCCACCTGGGCACCCTTCACTCACCCAGTGCTCAGCCCCACTGGGTCCCCCCTGCACCTCGGGCCTCCCCGGGCCACACTGCCCCTGCTCCACAAAGGGGAGCAGACTCCCTCTTTCCCAGAAGCCCAGGTGTCGCCCTACCTGGGCCTGGAGACCAGTGTCAGCCCCGAAAGAGCCCCCCAAGCACTTTAGCAAAGCAAGGGCCCCTCTCGGAGACCCCGCCAGCCATTCCCAGCAGATAGGTAGGGACGCAGCTCTCTCTGCATCTCACACCTGCAGGGGGGACAGTGGCCTCGGAACCAGAGCCAGGGAGCAGGAGAGGGCTGGGCCCCACCCAGGGGGATGAGGTGTGAGAGAGGAAGAAGCCCTGGCTTCTCTGGCCCCCCAGGCTGGGCTAGGGCTGAAGCTGGAGGAGGACAGCCTGCAACTGACTGGCCCACCAGCCCCCCGGCCCAAGCCAGGAAGGGAGGTGGAGCCAGATGCCAACACGAAGGGCAGGGATGCCCCAGGCAGTGACCCCCACCACGGGCATACACCCCTGCGCTGGCCTGAAGGCACATCTAATCGCCCTTTATGCCACTGTGAACAGGCTGGCGGGAGCGTCCCGTTATCTGGCCAAGGCTGGATCATCTGAGGCCATCAGGCAAATTTGCCTCCCCTGAGTTTACACACATGGATGTGTCAGCCTGGTGGCCCATAGGTGGTCCTGAGCAACCAGAGCTCAGGCCGTGTCCACTACTTCCTTGAAGAGGCTAGCATTAAAGGATGCCCATGTGGGAGCCCACAGAGTCCCTGGGACCATGTGCTGCTCCCTGTGGGAGTGGGCCAGGCTGGGGTGGGGGGCCACAGCCACTGACCGTGCTTGCTGAGACCGTGGAGTGAAGGTTCAGGGAACAAAGGGGGCTTTCTGCTGCTGCTCTCCTCCTGTCCCCTCATCCTGTCCCCAGCTCAGCCTCAGCAAAGTCATAGGGCCTGTGGGCTGGGGACAAGTAGCCGAACTCAGGGAGACGTTGTCCTTTCTCAGCCCCCAGGCCACCCTAAAGACCCTCCCCATCTTCAGGGCCCAGAATAAGGACAAAGCAGTGCCCTAGGTCAGGGCCCTCAAGAGCCAGAGGCTGGAGTCACTGGCTTTGGCAGGGGGCGGGGGGTGGGGGACCCCTTCTCTCCTCATGTCCCCAACCTGCAGTTTTTTTTTGTCTAGATGTCCCGGGAGTGGGGACAAAGGCAGAAGGAGAGCCCTGAGTCACACACTACTTTCCCAGGGAGGAGAGGGAGATG